GCATGGATGTGGGGAGGGTTGGGTGCCGTCTAGGATCTGGTCACAGTGGTTACAATCCCAGATATTTTCCCGGCTGGTTTTCACAGAAATTTTAAGTCAGACCGTTAACGAGTGCTAGTCAAGCTTCAATAACAACCTCCAAGATGGCATGCGAATGTCACGTCAGCTGTGTCATGTGACTGCGGGGGGTGGGGGGGCAGAGAGCTTCCAGTCCCACCGGCACATTGCTGTGGCAACAGTACATCAGGCGACGTCAGTATTCCAGTGACGGTCCAAACGTGGCTTGCGTGACGGGCTTCATGTCCGTGTTACGCGATCGGATTGAGGGAATGTGGGGCGAATGAGGCACTGGTGGTCAGAATACAAGCAGACGGCTGATGACTGATATCAGATCAAGCTTTGCTGGACATTCTTCATTTCCTGGTTTCCGGCTGGGTCATGTGATCAACCTCGGCATTCTGGGGGGGTGATATTCTGGTATCTCTGGCTTTCATTTGCTCCGAACGCCATGGGCAGCGCATGTGACTTTACTCCCCTCATATGCCCTGATCTGTAAAGCCAGAGTCTGATCTTGTAGTGGAGCCTCTGGAGCTCAGGATCCAAAACTCAGAGTTTCATTACAAGGGCCTCAGTGGATTAATCCCTTCACTGCCGGGTTTGTTTCCACAGAGACGTGTAGCTCCAGCTGTCGGTACTGGAGGGTCACCGTGCACTTTCCAGAGACACTGACAGGGCTTGATATGCAAATCCAATTCCGTTAACGTATGTGTCGAATTACATCATTAATGCATCTCTGTATGTCACAAATCTGTCCATAAACTGACAAGATTCCTACCGTGACTCGTATGCATACTTCCTATGCGTGTTTGTGCAAATTAAGAGACAATTAATGTTAGACTCTTCTCTCCCCTGAGGTTCTCACACATGGGTGAACCGGAATATCAGATCCTCCTTCATTTGTACTCACTCCACTTATTCCAGTCGTTTTGGAATCACCTTCCACCACGATAGGATTGTTAATTCCAGACTTCCGCGGGGGGGTAACTAAGGACTGGGCTGCGTTTAGATGGATCTCCCTGGAATTGAAATTTGACATTTCAGGGCCAATTAGGCTGAGAGTCACACCCAGGCTCCCAGAAACCACTGTGTAATTTATTTGTAAAGCTGGTATCAACCAGAAGACGTAGCACTATTGCTAAATTAAACCAAGAACACTATTAGGAAGTGCAGTGTGTTGATTGGGTAGTAATTGGGGTTAATACAGCTTATTGGTGCGCATGGTCTTGTGTGTTCTCTGCTGGAGAACCCGTCCGTGCCTGCACTGGCCTGCGTGGGCTGGACATCGGCACAAGATGTTAACTGGAAATGGGAAAACTGACAGTAGCCCACAGTAAATTCTGTTCAAGTAAATTTCTTTTTATATAGCGCCTTTCACAACAGAGTGGCCACCAGTGCAAAATAAAACAAAACAGGGAGGACGAAGGAAGGAATGCAAACAAGCAACGGAGGAGAGGAACCACCAAATCCCAAGAAGGGAGATAAAAAACCTCTGGGTGTCGACTGGCTGCCCCCCCCCCCCCCCCAGGGCATGCTGAGGAGGAGTAGGCTTGCTTGCTACAGGCAATGTGCAGATCGTGGTCAAATGTGAAATGTGTCATTGCTGAGGATGTATTTCATGATTCCTTATGAATTAAACAAATGCAGTCTGTTTCGGTCCCCTGTAGGCACTGTAGAAAAACAATGGTCACATTGCAGCATTACAGCAAAGATTTTGTTTATCTTTCCCCTACATATTTGTTTTTGGCCTTAATGTGCCGGCAGTCTGAACCACAGCTCTCATTCAGGGCTGTCGTTTGTCAT